CATGTCCATTTATATATATATAGAAATAACTCTGTTAGAGCAAAATTGGTGACAGATGGAAAAAAACGGACATCATAGAGGAAAGAGAACGTGACAGGAATTATAGGATAAAAATGGAAAACGGAGCGAAGAAATGGGACCAATGCGAAGTAATTAAATATAATAAATATTTTAATTTTCTTTGTTAACTTATGTTTGATTGTCTTATTTAAAAATAATACGATAAACGTTCCTGTATTAATTTATTAATACTTTTGTCTATAAAATAAGATTCAGGTTTACTCATTAAATGAAGATACGAAAATTATTATAAAATATTCTTTCGCATATAGATCGCTTCTAATTATTTTATTTATTGATTAATGAGGATAGAATGATCTACACTGGCGAAAATTAAAAGTGTCACACCCACCCAGTATTGTTGAAGACATGAAATTCGGGCAAAAGAATCTATTTTTGAAGCGTATTGAATGATCAAAAATTAAATGAAGTACATACAGTGGTATGGAAATTATGGAAACATTTGTTATGTAAAATTACTGTAGTACTTAGTTTATAAGTTGAACTGTGTTATGGAACATGACTCTTTTTGATCCAGAGGTTGTTGGTGACTAGCTATGTCGTATCGACGAGTGAGAACTCCGTATATCCAAATGTCTAACTTTGAAAGAGGTTAGATAATTGGCATGTCAGAAATGGGAGCATCATATCGTGAAATTGCCCGAAGGACTGGACATAGTGCAACGTCAGTTCTAAACAGATTGCTTGAAGCTGGACTAAAATCTCGGACCTACATGCAATGAGTTCCCTTATCATCGCCAACAATGGCTAACGTAGTGTGCTACACTGCTAGACGTAATTGGACACATGAATGGTGTACAGTTGTGTTTAATGATGAATCCCGATTCTGATTAGGCCAATGTGATAGTCGGCTACACGTCCGCCAGCGTGCTGGAGGCCTACCCTGCTATGATTTCAGAGTATCACTGAGGTCCATGGTTTTATGTCATCGTTTGGGGGCCAATCAGTTACGAGAGCAGGTCCGGGATGGTGGTTGTTGAAGGCACAATGACCGCCCACCAGTATGTGAACAGGGCGATCCATCCAGTAGTCATACCTTTCATGAACACCATCCAAAACGGTATCTTCCAACAAGATAATGCCCGTCCTGATGCTGCTGCCATCAGAAGACAGGCCTTGCGAAGTGTCGCAATCATGGATTGGCCCACCCGCTCTCCAGATTTATCCCTGTAGAGCAAGTCTGGGATGCCATGGGTAGACGGATTAGGTCTCATAGCCATCCAGCGCGCACTGTACAACAACTGACTGCAAAAGTGGTGGAGGCATGGAGAGATATGCCCCAACAAGACAATCAAGCACTTATTGACTCAACGCCTGCAAGGATCCAAGAGTGTATCCATGCTCAAGGTGGGCATACCACTTACTGAAACATGTACCAAACAGCAATAAACCATTGAGTAATTCATTTCATTTTGTGTTCATTTCTTCTGGGCATGCCCCTGTACATGTTTACCAAGTTTCGTGAATTTCCATTAATCCCATCTGGGTGTAACACTTTCAATTTCACCAGTGTATTAGCGGAACAAATGGCTGACATGGTTTAGACTTCAGCCTACGCTCTAAGGAATCTGGGATTGAGACCAGACGGTTGAAGAACTCCACGAATATTTTATGGTAGGGTTGTCCTAGTCAGGTTTCCCCAATTTCGCCCTATTGTGTGAACCTAATAGAAAGAATTTGTTAGTGCTCGCAGAACGGAAGATCAAACAATAAAAAAAGAAAAACGTACTGTGTCCTGTCTTACATTGCAACTAATGTAGAAAATAGCACATGGTGATACTATACGAATCTGCCAACATAGTGTAACAATAGCATCAAAGTTTGCACTATTTACTTGACACAGACAGGATAGTGAGTAAATCTATAGTGTGGCAATAACATAGAATAAAAATAAAATAAGAATAATAAGAATAAAATTCAAAATTGCGGTATAAAAATGATTGCTACTTTTATTCTGGTCTATCCTTGAATTTAGTGCTATGAATTTGCGTATTTTAATTTTCACAATAGACAACTGTACTATTTTGAGCAGTATTGTAATTCTGCAAAGACTAATATTACAGCGATAATATAAATTATAATATTATTATAAGATAATATAATTGCAAAACTATTATATAAGTTGATAAAATACAGTAGATCCCCTATAAGACGGGTTCCTATAATTACGATTCCTATAAGACGACGAAAAAATTGTGGCGGTATCCCTACACTACGGTAAAAAAATTCCTATAATTACGTAAAACGTCATCGGGCAGCCGAACAACTTTCCGCCGTCCAGCGCCACCCTGCGGACAGTTTAGGCGGGTAAATTGAGTTTAGTATCGCCTGTACATATAATTATATATAAATTATATATAAATTAGGTACTGTATATATAATTATATATTAACTTAATTTATTGTAACTTTATTATAATTATATATATACTTTCTGCCGTCTAGCACCACGCTACGGACAGTTTAGGCGAGCTATCATCTGTACAGTATATAAATTAGGTACCGTAAGTCTAATACAGCACTGTAATTTTATACATTTCTTGTGAAAGAAACATTTCTTATTCAACGGCGATTAAAATTATTTATATTAATGATGTCTCCAAAGTTCAACGAAGTTTTCACAGAAAAATAACATCAGAAATCGCAGCCGCGGTTGGCTGCGCTGTTCCGCGACGAAAACAGGCTTGAGCAACGGCGATGTCGAATGGTGCACACTCGGTAAGTAATCCTACAATTTTTTGTTTATAGCGTAGGTTATACGGATTATTTCCAAAAAAAATATATGTATTTTGGAAATGTTGAGTCGGATTAGTCTAGAATCGATTAATTTTATGGAAGAAAACCTTTCAAACAGCCGTAGACCGTAAACTTCACACGTGTCGGGCTGTGATTGGCTGTGATTCCTAGAAAATTGATTCATAACGAACGGAACGTATCTACCGTTTTATAGGGGGATCGACTGTATAATGAATAACAGATTCCATGTACTTTAAAAATACAAACACACAGTATATAGTGTGGGTGGCTCACCTACATCATATTTATTAGTGTATTTACACACACACAACATAATTAAATTCTAAATTTGGTTATATTCATTGGATTCTGGAGTGAAGAAGACAATTGGGTGGTACCGACCATAGAACTGGTAGAAAAAAGCATTGTTATTAGACTTACGTACTGTTTGACCTCAACGTTTTAACCTTATATTTTATTTTATCTGTATTTTAGAGATGACACTTCAAGAAACATTATACAGTAGACCTCTAACGGGTCTTCAACTATCATAAAAGGTATATGGACAGGTGACATTACGCCATCGGACAGTTTAAATTTCGATGTCAAAGAGAATTAAGATAAACTAGCTGAAAGGATCAAATTAGTTCATAACTATGATAAGAGAAATGCAGAATCCAAACAGCAAGTGTACACGAGTCATTAGAACTTGCGTACGAGACAGAAGGAATTCGCAGTAGGTGACTCTGTCTTTTAAAATCACTCTGTTACCGCAAAATTGGCGACAGATGGAAAAAAACGGACATCATAGAGGAAAGAGAACGTGACAGGAATTATAGGATAAAAATGGAAAACGGAGCGAAGAAATGGGTGCATGTAGATAAATTAAAACGGTATATACAAGAAGTACGTCCCATCGCAGTTGTATTCGAGGGATATAACAATTTTGCACCAAAGGCAATCAGAACGGTCAAATCCCAGTTGGGAAATAAAAGGATAACAAACTTTGTTCGGGTTCGTCGCTAGCCGAAAGGGAAAGAATGAAATTACAAAATGTTCTAGAAGCTTACCACAGGTTATTTACTCCAACGTGAGAAGAACACCAGCTGGATACAGTGAGATTGTTCAGAAAGAAAAAGGGCTATCAAAAGGTTTAATGCCCCTTGCTGTATAATCTAATGCAGAAGAAACAATTGACGTCTTACTCAAGACTGGCTTAATTAATGGGAAGAATTTTATTAAATACTTTTTTTTTTCTGTTTAATTTTAGATAATTTTTATAAAATACTCTTTAATTGTTTGCTGTTTACAAGATAAATTTTTATAGGCCTACATTAAAGTTGTGTAGAAAATTACAAAATAAACAAAATCTTTTGCATTAAAATTGAACTAATTTTATGAAACTAAATGACATTGTTAAAATATGTATAATTTTGAATTTACAAAATGTTTTGCGAAATTTAAAAATGAATTGTATTAATTCAGAGGAAGTAGATTAGTATTAAATACAGCCAATAGCGGTTTTAAAAATTTTGCAGCCAATAGCGGTATTTAAATATTTCAATTAGTTTGAGGATTTATTGATCTCAGGTTTTCTATCTTCGATTTCAAGAAAGAAGTCCTGAAGTTCTGCTGGATCCTGCTTTTCTTCTGTTGCATTCTTTTCATTCTTTTCGGGACCTTCAACTTTTATTTCATCTTTATTTTTAATTTTTGTTGAAACTTTAAAGAAATTTTTTTCAGTTTTATTTTCAGATTTTAATTCCTCTGATTTTTCAAGATCCATTTGTAATTTTGCAAATATTGCAGAAATTTCCTATAAGAAACAAGATATTTTTGAGGAATGAAATATATTTTGCAGTTACAAACATATTTTGGCTGTAAACGCTAAAATTCTACAATACTGGATTAAAGCAATAAAGCAATGCAACACATGGGTGATCTACCATAGTGGTACATCTAAAAAGTAATATACAAAAATTAATTTTTAATATTGAATTTACTTTAGGCGGCATGCATAGAGTTAAACTTTATTTAAGAATTTAGATCTAAAGGTTATATCATGTAATAAATACTCGTACATTTAATGCATTACATTTTTACAGTGAAAAAAGGGAACAGATGTGGTTATGTACAATACCATTTGTTTTGTATATGATTAATAACTGCGTGATTTGTATGTTAATTGCTATTGTGTAGTTTTTACATGAGTAAAGATTTAGAGTTTGGTAATTTAACTATATTTCCTATATTGTATTGTGTATTTTACATTGTTTACTTTACTTGTGACATGATAAGTAGTAGTAAAATAAATATTATTGTGCACAGTGTTATTTTTAAGTAACTTTCCTCCGATTTACTATGGAGTTCGTAACATTGTGGTTCGTGAACCCTCAGGTACTTTGCTTAATCGGGAGGGATGGGAGTAATGAAATAAAACACAATATAATAATTAGGAATAACATTATAACTTTCGCTATTGTAAAATGAGTAAAATGAATATTTCAATACATACGTCAAAAGATGAATTAGGCAGAATAATGCATTTGTCTACGTTAAAGAGTTCTTCGTATATTATTCCGCATTCTTCTCTTTTGAATGATCCACTTGAACGAGAATCGTTATATCGTCTCTTGTGAGTTTTATTAATGTGATTATTTAACGATACTAACGAATCAAACACTAGTCCGCAATATCTACATCTATATTCATTGTCCGGAAAACTTCTGAACTCAAAAACGTGCATATTTTGTTTATCAATTTATCTAAAACGTATACGTTAAATACTATATAAATTATTAAATACTTCTTCCAGCGTCCAAATGAATATTTTACAAATATGCAACAGAATTGTTGATCCCGACAATTGAACAATTGTTTGATTGTTTTTGTGTAAAAATTAGAAGTATTGAATTGTTACGCGATTGTTGTACTTAGAGTATTTTGTTTTATCTTCTATATCTTACTTTAATTTTTAGTATTTTTTACATTTAGGGAAAGCTATGACGCTTAAAGTATTAAAGGTTGTAAAACATCAGAGGATAAACTTAGACATATGACTATAAACAAATTTATTTTTTAACTACTTGAGAACACAATACTCCTTCTAAAACTTTCAAAATTAAAAGCATAAGTTGTCATTTATTATATAAAATCAGCGTTGGTCTGATCTGTTTACCCTTAAGGAGGAAAGAAGATTGTTATTTTTTATTACATAAAAATATACCGATCTGTAGTGTACTTTACTTGTTTAAATATTGTTTCTGGAATTAGTTGTATTGCGCAAGAAATTCTTGCTTGAAATACGAGCACTTCCTCTTCTCTTTTGTCTAACTAGACACGGTTTAACACATATAAAATGAAGTTTCTAATACGTTTTAAATGGAAAAATAAATCATTCTCAAGAGAAATGTTTGCTCACTCAATACATCTCATTATCTTTCGTATATTTCAGAGCGTAAATAGCTCCATAGTTGTTATCATGAATAAGTTTAATCTATAAAATTCGGACATTTTAATTTAACAAATGGTCAATTTGATTAATAAATTACAGAATGTAATCCGTCTTTTCACCGACAGAAAAGAGGAAAATCGAAATTCGCTGGAAAATCCAAACGTTTTACATTAAATTTCGTAGCGACACAACAATAAAATTCTGACAATTTGTTGCGATCGGTCGAATATTCAGTGAGTATGATTAAAAGTGAACGTTTTTCTGAGTTTTGCATCATTTTCAGATATTTTTTTGGTGTGTTTACACTATAAAGTTTTTAAATTTAGGTTTATTTGAACATTGTTTAGCCGAATATCACAATTAGTGGCAATGGTTTTGCGACAAAACTCCATTTAGATGACAATTGATCGATTTCGTCATAGTGACGAAGAATGAGGTCTTTCCACTTATTTCAGAAGATACTATTCATTTTTTTATTGTTAATTTTCGTTCAGTCGAAATTCAATCGAATTGTTAAAGCCAAACAGAAATTAATAAGTACATTAAATTATTATTTCCCGCTATGGTTTATATACATATTAGGCTATATCCAATATGAAATTCGCACCGATATACTCTAAACTTTAACTAAAATAGACTCTTTTTTCACAAATATTTTGTGTTATGGCAATCAACAGAATTGTATTATTTGTACAAACCTATTTTTTAAATTATATATCCGACATTAAAAATCGTTAAAAAGATTAAAATTACTATATTTAATAATTAAAAATTTCTGACTTTCAAATTTTTATTTTCTGCAATCTTTTATTATAAATTTTTATTTCATTTTAAAGTAAATTTTACATAAAAAATTATATATATTTCTTACTTATAATTTAGATTAAATTACGACAATAGAAATATTTTTAAAATTTATGCAAGTTTCTATGTTTCGCATCTTTTTCATTGCAGAATGGTTAATTTCAAAGTGAAGTAAGAGGCTCACTTCGGGAGATGAAAAGCAGAAAGTCCTCTTCCACTTCCATTCCAGTGATTCGGATGCTTCCTAAAGATGTTGAAGAGAGCAGAAAGCGGAAGTCACCTACACCTGACTAGAAACGGGCGGTCGTCATATCTCCTAACGAAAGCACCTCGTTTCTGGTCGAGTATCTAGTACGACGATACCCGGAAGTTGCGGAATGGATGCAGGAAAGGTAGTAGCGTGAGGTACGATACGATGAACAAGACTCAAAAGGGAGCCTAAAAAACTCTGTCAAGAGTAAGAAACCTAGATGGAAAATGGTTTTCTTTCTCTGCAGAAAATAACCCTTATCTCCGCCGAGGTTATCTTCCCCCGAAGTCGACTTTGACACGCGCAACTAACCTTTCACTCGAGTACGACTTAATAGACTGAACTCGTGTTTTTCATCTGGCTTTGTTTCTTTCCTTTCCAAGTAACGTTGCCCTCCGAGGACTCATTCTTTCAGTTTTTTTAAAGTCTACAGAACAACAACGAGGGGATGTCTATCCTCACAAAGTGATGATTATAACATAAGGCAGTGTTTTTCGAGTTTAAAGACTTTTGTTTAAACGATTATAACAAGCCAAGGCCACTTCTATTTACAGACATTCACACTGTCTTTAAATCTGTTTGCCACTGCTACCAAATTTCACAACAAATGGTAGAATGTGGCCACTCGTATGTGTGAAGGTCCGAAACCCTTTTTCTGTTTTAGATCAGTACAAATCTAGGAATTTTCCTAGTAAAAGAGAAAAGGGAGACTTCTACGGTCAATGACCGAGACGCTCTCCTCGAACAAGAAAAAAACGGAGAATGTTAAAATATCAATAAGAGAAATAATCTCTATTTGTTTAACAGTTATTCTATAGACGTTAGTATCAACAAGAAGGGAATAAGAGATATTTCTTATCACCTCTTGGTCGCACGTAACACGTGGTTACGGCAATAAATCGCCTTGTTCATAGTCAAACTCGACGTTTGATATAAACAATAACTAAATAGTTGACCAGGTTAAAGAAATTATTGTCAAATGATTGTTAATTTATGGATGAGAGCCATCAAACCTACAGAAATTTATAACATAAAATCATGTCATCTTGACACCAATATCAATAAATTGAACAAATTTCTCTGTCAATTGTCCGAACTAGCTAGATCCAAATATCAACACACTAGCAGGTGTGCGGATAAATCATGAATAACGTCATAGTTCTCACCCCCTCGAAATCAGTATAAAGAGGGCTCCCGGCCAGTATCGGGGTGGCCTCCAACTTAGAAGGAACTAACGGATTAACGATCCTCATCGCTGACCGCTAAAGACGGACGACACAGTTAGATCCTACGAACTACAACTTAGTAAGTAGAACTCTCTCTTTCCTCTCAGGTGGACTAGGGCTAATTCCGCGAAAAGAATATTAAAGAGGATCAGAGACTATCCTCAGTCGAAATACCCAAGATATAATCCGACTAACCTACTATTGTAATATCGGTTTGATTTTGACATTATTATTATTCTTAGTATTTGTAACCCTTTTATATGGTATATACTAATTAAATTTATATTATATCTTAATCATGCGTGTTTACTCGTACTCCGTCAACACCTTATCGACTTATCCGCGACCTCCCACTCGATTTTCGCCCTCCGAAATTGCCATCCACTGACCCTGTGAGCGGAACTCACCGCCCCGTTGTCGGAAAACGGTTTAGGCTTTGATGCATAAACCCTGATTCTCACATATGCGCTACAATTCGACGTTAAACTTCAATTAAAAATCAAAGAAAACACAATGTAGTCAGTATATGTGCAAATCTGAATAGTAGTCATTTCAACAATTAAATTTGTAAATAGAATTGTCTTAATTGTAAATAATTTTTTTATTTAAGAAACTTTAAATTCAATAACTGTTTGAAGTTTCGATATTTATCAAAATAAATATTAAAAAATTACACATTGTTAGATTCATTTATAACTCTAGCATTTCGGTTGTGAAAGATCAAGAGGGTAGGAAGATATAGAAGTATCATGTGTCGTATCTACGGAGAAGTACGATTTAATGAAGAATTTAATCGTTATTACTCATTACGTTTTTCTTTTATATATATATATATAACTCATTCCTACTCTGAAAATTAAACTTTTTGCTATTTTATAAAAATTAAAAATATAGAAAGTTTTAATATCAAAATTTCAGAACAGATGACGCCACAAACAATTTTATTTATTTTGTTGAATCAGGTAAAAGTTATTATTTATTTTTATAAATAAAAACTCATAACAAGCGGGAAAGTACGGAAATCGTTACTAAATTTATTTACTTAACAAATTTATTTAATTAATGCTTTAATTTAACAAATTATAGTGGGAGATTTCACATAAAATATAATTTATAGTTTTATTTATAATGCACATTTTATCGCATTATTTTTAGTGTGTTTGGTTATTTATCGTATATTGTGTGTTATTAGTCGATTTTTAACAATTTCTTCCTACAAACTTTCTTTATTGACAGCTTTACGACATCCCTTACTTTATGTATCCATTAGTTTAAAATTTTTCAAACGGAACTTTTTAAACCATATTTGATTTGTTTAAAGTTTCGAAGCATCGTCCCCTTAGACATTGGAAATCTCTCTTTTTTAACTTTTTGTGCAGCGTTTATATTCTTAGATCATAAAGCATATTATACCCGCAATGCTTTTTATCCGAAGACTTGATACTATTTAAACGAAGTATAAAGTATTGATAAAAAGTTTCTCAACATATAATAAAATACACCTTTTTATATGCTAATTTTCACAACTGTTAAAATTATTGTATATCACAAATTTATCTTAAGATGGCGAACTCCAAGGTGTGCCATCAATAAAAGGCAATTTTCATTTTGTTATACAGTATTTACATATTTTATTTTATGGTTTTCATAATTAAATTTAGTATTCGGGCATTTATTTCTGTTATTACACCTTAAATTATGCGAATTTGCTGCTTTATTGATACGAAATTGGTATTCTTCAAAATCAGGAAGGGATTACTTTACTTTTTATTATTTCGTGTGAAAAAATTGATTGGAATTCCGAATGTCTCCCGGAATGAATTAAATTCAAAGTACGAAGCATCGAAGCATCACTTTATTTAATATTACACGTTATATATTAAACGTGGATCTAAGAAGATACTGAAAGTTCCTTCATAACGAACTGCTTGTTTAGAAAATATCCTTTGTTTGCTCTGATATTCTAATTACTTATTATCACGGTCTTTTCATTCACACTATTAATGTTCATTCCATTTTAACACCTAATTCTTCTTGTGTAACATTTTTCTGAATGAGAGCATTTGGTGTAATTAATATGTCATTTTATTAATATACAGGAGGGGTTGTAAAAGTAGGTATACAGTTATTATTACATAAAAAAACATACAGGGAGTGAAATTCTGTTTGAATTTAAGCCTATAAA